GAAAACCTGTGAACCTGAAATTGAAACCGGTAACTGAAACTATGCGGAAACTATGTAGCTGGTTGGTAACTGAAACTATGCGGAAACTATGTCGGATTGTTGGTAACTGAAACTATGCGGAAACTATGTCGGATTGTTGGTAACTGAAACTATGCGGAAACCTGTTGGAGTCTTATTAATAACTGAAACCTTGCGGAAACCTGATGGATTCAAAGTTAATGGAAACTCAACGGAAACTTGTCGGAGTGTGGGTAACGGATACCTTGCGGAAACCTGTTGGAGTGTGGGTAACGGAAACCATGCGGAAACCCTTAGAAAGTGGGTAATTGTAAGTTTCCGTTATTGCGGAAACTCCATGTAAAAGAATGGAAACTCACTGGATTCTAGGTGGAAACTTAAGTTTCAGTCCACTTTCCACCAGGTTTCCGCATTGCGGAAACCAAGTTATTTTTGCTGTGTTTGTGATGAAGGAATCACGGTCAAGCATGTCCTGCTTGACTGTATTGAATATTCCATCACAAGGGATAACTATTTCAAATCAGGAAGATGAAGGATCTTTTTAATAATATCAGTTCTCATTTAATTATTGCATTTTTAAAAGAATTAGATTTGTTGAATGAATTGTAAATAGATAAATATTTTAAAATTGGTAGTTTAGTTGAGCACCTCAGATTGTTAGTGGCTGTATCCTCACTGGGGGTTGAAGCATTGTAAAATTATTGTCCTCCTGTGGGGGTACGTAAGTCCCAAAACATTCAAAGTAACTTTAAACATACCATTATTTTTAAGCGTAGAATATGGCTTAATTGTCTAAACTTGCTGACAGTTGAAGGGATGGTGTAAATCCAGCTAGGGTCCATGCAGGAAGCAAATTTACTGTAAGTCCCCATCACTAGTATGGTGATCTACGTTCAGTCGTTAGCAATCTACATCCTGTTTTTATATTGTATTGTCATTTATAGTTCCAATACTTTAGATTTAATTGCTAGTTTTAAATGGATATCTGTGATACACTAGTAGTTTTACTGTTCTTCGTCAACAGGTTCTTTAATTTCTAACTTTATTCATCTTTAATAAAATGATATAATGTTCTCGTCACGATATGGCTGAAATATTGCCGATGTGACGATAAATATTAACTCACTCACTCACTCACTCACTCCTGATTGTAATGATCAGGCAGGGTTGAGACCACTCGGACTTGAAATTACCTGTCAGTTAAAAACTGAGATATAAAATGAGGTAAACGACCTCTCAAACCAAAGTCATGTAAAGCGATTAAAATACCATGCTTCCATGTTGTATCGTAAGCTTTTTCCAGGTCGAAAAAGATTGATACAGCATGTTGGTTATTTACAATGGAAATTTTAACGAAGGCAGTATTAAGCTCATGTAGTGAAAACACTTCATTGTAGTCTTCACCATTGTCAGAATTAAAATTAAATTTCATTTTTTCTTGTTGATTTTTATATTTCTGAAATTGAGGATAATAATTTGATGATGAAGAATGTGCAGCTAAAATTTCACTCAACTTATTTGTAATGTCAGATTTATTAGGTATATTAATTATTATCCTTCAGGTGATGAACACTAGATTTGGTACCTTTACCCTTGATTCTCTGTATCATTATCCACACTTTCGTCATAAGTGTACGTGAATTGATTTTTGATACAAAGTTCTTCCAAGACTGTCGCCTATGTTGCTTATAAGTACGTCGATCCTTGGCACTATATATTTTAACATTATTTAAATTGTGAACTGTAGGATGACGGCGAAAGTATTTCTCTGCCTTCTTCCTACACTTCCTGGCCTTTTTGCAATCACTGGTACACCATTTTTTACGAATGTGTGGTGTCGGAGAGGACTTAGGAATAGTTTCATCAGCTATTTGATTCAGTTTATCCGAGAATAACTGAATAGGATCCATATCATTGACAAAATAGACAGATTTTAATTCGTCAGTACAAAGTGTCTTAAATAAAGGCCAGTTAGTCTTATTAAAATTCCACCTCATTGCAGGCGGCTCATCAGTCGGATTTATTGCAGAGAGAATTGTTGGGAAATAGTCGCTTACCCAAACGTCATCGTGGACCGACCATTCAAACTCATTATATATATTTGGATCTGAGAGCGATAAATCAAGTTCAGAATATGTACCCGTACCGGGATGCAAATATGTGGCTGAGCCATTATTAAATATGCATACATTATTATCTCCAATGAAGTCTTCAAGGATTTCCCCCCCTAGCATTGGCATTAATACTTCTCGCCCATGATGATACAGGGTCTAGGGAGCTGGTCAAACAGATTCTGAAGATCAGACTGCTGAAGGGGAGAAGATGGAGAAATATACAAGGAGCAAAGAGTAACAGCTATGTGCAAAGACAAACGAACTGCCACAGCTTGAAGTTTGCATTTTAGAGGGACAAGGCCATGGATGACACCCTGCCTCACCAAAATAGCAGCGCCACCTGTAGCTTTATTTTCTGGAGGTGAAAACGAATGACATGAATGGTACTGACGAATATCAAGTTTATCATCATCTTTTAGATATGTCTTCTGTAAACTAAAAGCCGATGGTTTGAAATATTGTGATAACAATTGTAGATCAGAAAAATTGTTCCTCAAAGACATCATTGAAATTTATCGTCCAACTCGTGTCATGAGGTCTGAGAAAAGAGGCAGCCTGAAAATGCCAGCTACAAAAACATGCATGGGAGACAAAGCTTTCAGTGCTGATGCACCAGCTTTGTGGAACTCTCTGCCAGTTGAACTGAGATCAGTATTTTCCTGGAAGCATTTAGGAGCCAACTATACTAGCTACCTACTAGTTTCTCCACTTTCTCTGTGCAGCGCCACTGAGCAGCACTGGTTGGACATTAGGCGCTTAAACAAATGCATTATTATTATTATTCCTAATTAGTCCTCTACAATTCCATTGTATTAAATTAACAGATCTGCTCATAGGGGTTCAATTGGAGATCGAGAGCGCAGAGAAGTGCCACTTCTACAAGCTGTTTGTGAAGGAGTGATCTCCATGTCTAGTGATTCAAACAGATTGTAAACCACAACAGGTGTTGCTGAAGGTGAAGATTTTCCAAATATTGAAGAGCCTTCGTCTTTCTCCTCATTTGTTTCTTTTCTTTAGCAGTACGGTGAGCATCATTCTTCGTAATTGCTTGTGAGGATACGGTATCAGTTCTTGGCTCTATACTGGATTCTTCAGTTTGAGAAGCTGAAGAGATGTAACCCGGTAACGATTGTTTTCTGATTTCCTCAAGTATTTTCTGCTTGTCATGTACCCAAGATATACTCATGCCAATAATGGTTGTCACCCCCTTCAATTTTTTAATTGGTGAGGGGTTATTGTGGGGTGGGGGTGTGAGGTGTGTGTGGGGTTGGGGTGAGGAGGGGGTTGACAACCATTATTGGCATGAGTATATATCCGTTTGGTAGGATGTGGAAACTGTTACAGGTTTGGTAACCAATACTTGAGTAGGAGAAGAAACTGCAGCTGATTAGGTAAGAGATGTATTCGGGTTTGACTGAGCTAATTTCTTTGCATCAAAATACGAAATGTTTTTTGTGCATTTGAGTTTCATTATTGTGGACTCAATTTCGAAAGATGGGCAAGATTTTGATGATGCCATATGTTTACCATTGCAGTTGGCACACTTCATGTCATTTGTGCAGTCAGTGCTCTCATGAGCCCCACTGCAACGGGAACATTTTGTTTTGCAAAGGCAGGACTTAGCACCATGTCCAAATTTTTGACACTGAAAACAACGGAGTGGATTTGGTACATATACCTCCACTCCGATGTTGCAGTAGCCAGCTTTGATTGATTTTGGAAGAGTCGTCATTCCAAAAGTAAACAGATAAGTGTTTGTGTTCACAGTGCCTGAATCTTGTTTCCTTGTAAAGCGTTTGACAGCAGTGATCCTTTGATTCAACTGCACTCTCTTCTTCTGACATATCAGACAAAGAGCGTGACCAATCTCTGACGATGCCTCTACAGGAGTTCAATGTGTGTTAACAAACTGCCGTAGACCCAGCAGATATACAGATTGTTGCCTCCGAACACATTTCACTAAAAGTGAACCACCTCTGAGGCGAGTGACATTTTGAACCTCTCCGCAGATGCCTTTGGAGACGGCAAAAGGGTAAAGTTTGAAAGGACTTCCGTCCGCAGCTGCAATAACCAAGTATTTTGGCCAGAAATCACCAGACTGAGGTACTTCTTCATCCTCAGAAGAACCCTGCTCCCAACCCGCCATCAAGTGTCAACATGGACGATGTTGCAGTGGAAACCATCCTGCAACACCAGGGCTACAAGGGTGATATACCCCAGAAATACAGACGTGAATAGCTAAGAAATGTGAAAGACGAAATGCTAGGCTGGTTCGACCCAGAAATGTCCTGAGAAATTCAGAATTCAGAGGTCCATATCACCAGATTGGCCCATGAGCCACCGCCTTCTGGGCATACGACTTTACGCAAATTAAACATTCTCAAATGTTTAAATCAATACAAATTCAGTGAATTAATTTGACCAGTACCCTAGACAACATCATTTAGAGAAATAAGATTTGTGCAATATGAAATAGAATGCACAGAGCCTGGCGTGACCAGCCGATTGGTTGAACCGGGCCTATTCAACCACCCGTCTAGGTGAAGTAAGGGGCAAAGTGGTGTGTTGGGCAACAGGAACAATTGGTCCTGGTTCCAGTGCCCTCAACAACCACACTCCCGTCCTCCACCGACACAGGGCCACAACCCACGGCAAACAGGTCGACCAATTCGGTCCTAGAACCAGCAATGGGGTGCTGTTGACCACTATGCCCCCGGGTCCACAACGGGGTTTTGAAGAACTCCTAGCGTGACCCAGCACCCACCACGAGGAGGTGGCTTTCAGTACAAAATAGAACTGTAGGACAAAATTCAAAGGTAATAAAAGTGCAGTGGCAACAGCAAAAACGTTAATGATAATGATATTCACCTGACTGCAACTTTAGTCACACTTCCAGTACCGAACGCCTAAAATTCAAGAGTGAAAATGTGGTCATATCACAGGCGCTGGTCTTATTGTAATGTACCTGACGCATGTGATCACCCAGGTATAAAAACGATTTAAAAGTTATCTAATAATTTATGGATTATATTAGAGTTTACTCTTCCCTCAAAGCGCATCAAAATGTAGATATTGTAATTTCCGCATCACTGACAACTAATTACTGTGAGCAGACCGAGTGTAACTAAATAAATGCACTCACCTGTAAGTGATTGAGACAGCCATATCGTAACGAGAACATTTGATATTGAAATGAAATATATGTATATTATAAAAAAACCTGCCGACGAAGGACAGTAAAACAACTAGAATATCACAGATATGTATGTAAAACTAGTAATTAAATCTAAAACGTTTTATCTATAGGGGAAAAACAATACAGTATAAAAATGGGCTATAAATCGCCAATAACTGAAGGTAAATCACCATACCAGGGACCATGGGGACTTACATTACTTTTGCTACCTGCATGGACCCTAGTTGGATTGGCACCATCCCTTCAGCCATTGGCGACAGAAGAGAAATCTAACCATACATTAAAAGCACACATATTCTGCGATTAAAACGCACTAAATTTACTCTATATTCTGCGATTAAGGACAATAATTTTACAATACTTCAACCCACTTTGAGGGTACAACCACTAACAATCGAAGTTGATAATCTAAACTACCAATTATAAAGCCTTATCTATTTACAAAACATATATCAAAATTCATTTAACAGATCTATCTCTTTTAAAAAATCAATGATTAAATGATAATAAACATTACTAAAAAGATCCTTCATCGTTCATGATTTGAAATAGTTACCCCTTATGATGCAGAATTCAACACAGTCAAGCAGGACATGCTTGACCGTGGTTCTCTCATCACAAGGGATACAAAACGGAGGATCCTCACCTTTCAATAGGTACTCATGAGTATATCTAGTATGGCCAATACGACATCGTCGCATAATGACCTCCTCAAATCTGGACTGACAACCCAAGTAGGTGTAACCAATATAAGGTTTTATTTCATGTAATTTATTGATACCTACTTGGGCATCCCACTTCTTTTGCATCAGATCACGGATGTAAGTTCTAATGCTTGCTTTGTAATCAGAGTATGGGATCAGAAGTGGTGTCACAGATTTGTTGAGTGCTGCCTTGGCAGCAAAATCGGCCATTGTATTCCCAGAAATGCCAACATGGCTGGGTAACCAACAGAGGACGATGTCGTATTGGCCAGTTGCAAGATCATTAAGTAATTCTATAATTTCTATTAAAAGTGGATGTTTACAAGAAATATTTTCAATCGCCTGAAGGCAAGAAAGAGAGTCTGAAAATATTATATATTGTTTATATTTAGGGTGTCTATTTATATATTTAAGAGCTGTTAGTATTGCGTTTGCTTCTGCTGTGAAAATTGAATTGTCATTGGGTAATCTGGAAGATATTGTTTTGGACCCAATGACAGTGGCACAAGCAACCGCGCCACCATCCTTGGACCCATCTGTAAATATGGATTTATATGTATTATATTTACTTTTTAATTGATTATATTCTTGTTTATATTGTAAGTCATTAGTTTCTGATTTTTTAAAATTTAGTGAGTGTTAGGTCGACTTGTGGCCGAACCAATTGCCAAGGAGGAGAAGAAAGAAGTCGGGAAGGATCTATATTTTCCAGCTCAATGCCGGCAGCAGTAATGAATGGCTTAATCCTGAGCCCAAGAGCTGATTTCTTGTTGTACAAATCCTAATAAAGAGGATTAAAGATGCAGTGAAATGCAGGATTAGACTTGTTAGAATATAGTTCGGTAATGTATTTGAATGATAATTTTATACGGCGTTGGGTAAGAGATGGTTCATCTGCCTCGACGTAGAGACTGTCAACAGGAGATGTTCTGAATGACCCAAGAAAAAGTCTCAGACCTAGGTGATGAATAGAATCTAATAGTTTTAGGTTGCTTTTACAGGCTCCACCATATACGATGGAGCCATAATCAAGCTTCGAGTGGACCAGTGATCTATATAGGTGTAGGAGGGTAGTTTGGTCCCCTCCCCACTTTGAATTAGAAACGACTTTCAATAAATCGAGTGCCTTCGGGCATTTAGTTTTTAGGGATTTAATATGCGGAAGAAATGTTAAATGGGAGTCAAAAATCAGACCCAAGAACTTGGCCTCTTTTACAACCTTGATGGCAGTGCCATTTAAAAAAAGTTCTGGGTCTTTATGTGGTTTATATTTACGGCAGAAATGTATGCAATTAGTTTTTGATTTAGAAAATTTAGAGCCGTTTTCAAGACACCATTTATTTATTTTATTTAAACACAACTGTAGTTGCCGTTCAATTGTATGCATATTCTTACCGTGACGAGAAATGTTAAAATCATCCACAAAAAGTGATCCATCGATTGAATCATTTAAAACCTTGGATAAACTGTTGATCTTAATACTAAACAATGTTACAGACAAAATACTGCCCTGTGGGACACCCTGATCCTGATTATAATGGTCAGACAGGGTTGAACCCACATGGACTTGAAATTGCCTGTCTTTTAAAAACTGTGATATAAAAAGCGGTAAACGACCCCTTAAACCAAAATCATGTAAATCCTTTAAAATGCCATGCTGCCAGGTGGTATCGTATGCTTTCTCGAGATCAAAGAATATCGATACTGCATGTTGTTTATTTACTATTGCATTTTTGACAAAGGGTTCTAATCGTACCAAATGATCAATGGTACTACGATTTTTCCTGAAACCACATTGAATATTTGTTATAAGGTTGTTGGTTTCAAGATACCATGTTAATCTATTGTTTACCATTCGTTCCATGGTTTTACAGACACAACTCGTTAAAGAGATTGGTCTGTAATTTGATGGATCAGTATGATCCCGGCCAGGTTTTGGAATAGGGACAACAATGGCATTACGCCACGAAGGTGGGAAATTGCCTGAAGTCCATATTGTGTCAAAAATATTTAGAAGTGTTTCCAAACATGTTTCAGGTAAATGCTTCAAGAGCTGATAGTGTATATTATCAGCTCCTGTTGCTGTATCTTGAGCTTGCTCAAGGGCGGTATGTAGCTCATGTAGTGAAAACAATTCGTTATAGTCTTCACCATTGTCTGATTTAAAGTTAATTCTTTTCTTCTCCTGTTGTTTCTGGTGTTTCTGAAATTCAGGAACATAATTGGATGAAGATGAATGTTTGTCGAGAGTTTCGCCAAGTTTGTTCACACTATTGGTTTTATTAGTTAATATATTGTCACCATCCTTCAGATGGTGAACAGTGCATTTGGAACCTTTGCCCTTAATTCTTTGGATCATGTTCCACACCTTTGAAATCGTTGTGCGTGAATTTATTTTAGAAATATATTTGCTCCAAGACTGATGCTTATTCTGTTTAAATGTACGTCGAGCCTTGGCATTTAAAATTGTAACTTTATTTAAATTATGAACAGTAGGATGTCGAAGAAACTATTTTTCAGCTTTCTTCCTGCTCTTTCTGGCCTGTTTACATTCATTATCAAACCATGGCTTACGAATATGTGGAACTGCAGAGGACTTGGGTATAGTTTGGTCAGCATTGTCATTGAGCATATCTGCAAACAACTGTATGGGATCTTCACAGTTTGCAAATGCATCATGTTTTAAGGTATCAGTACATGGTGTCTCATATAATGACCAATCAGCCCTGGCAAAGTTCCTTCTTGATAAAGGTGGATCATCACCAGGGTTAATTGTTTTGAATTTGTTTGGAAGTGATCACTCGCACATAGGTCATCATGGACCATCCAATCAAATTCATTATATAAGTTGGAATCGATGAGTGGCAGATCCAGGGAAGAATATGTTCCCGTAGCTGGATGTAAATAAGTGGCTGAATCATCATTAAATATACATAAATTATTATCGGAAATAAATTCCTCAAGGATTTTACCTTTAGTATTGATATGAACACTTCCCACAAGCGGGTTGTGTCCGTTAAGATCGCCCATGATAACACATGGCTTAGGAAGTTGATCGTACAGATTTTGAAGATCCGCCTCACGGATATTAGAAGAGGGGGGAATATACAAGCTGCACAATGCCAGGGCAATGCTATGAGTCAGGCGAACAGCAACAGTTTGAAGATTCGTAGTTAGAGGGATAGGGCTATGTATAACGCTCTGATGAACCAAAATAGAAGCGCCTCCAGTTGCTCGATCTCCGGGAGGAGAAAAAGAATGATAATCACTATAGTGTCTCAGATTAAAGCTATCTGTAGTTTTAAGATATGTCTCTTGGAGACAGAATGCTGACGGTTGGTGATCCTGTATCAGTAATTGTATCTCATTAAAATTATTCTTCAATCCTCTGCAATTCCACTGCATTAAAGTCGACAACTGAGTCATGGCGGCTCAATTGGAGATCGTTCACGTGAATGTGAGTAGGAAAAGCTCCTCTGCCTGTCCTGAGAGGACAGAGTGACCTCCATATCAAGTGGTCCAAATGAATTTTGGAGAGGAACCTCCGGAGGTGAAGGGGCAGAATGTTGGTTTTGTATTGATTTTTTCCCATTTTTTTCCTTCTTTTTGGATTGGTCAGCTGATTGGGAATTTGCGGGTTGTGCAGCAGAAGTTTGTGAAGTCTCAGGCTGAAGTTCAGTCTGAGACCCTGACGTAGACTGACTGACTGGGGAAGTAGGTTTTAAAGAAGTAGTTTTTGTGGCTGAAGAGACAGGTTTTTCTGACTTGACCCATGTCAAGTCAGTTTGACAAGCAGTAGAGGACACTGCTACAGAGCGGGTAACTGCGGAGGAATATATAATATTTGGTACAGATGAAGACTGACTTGTAAAAATTTGTTTGGCCTCAAAGTACGAAACGTTTTTTTCACACTTAATTTTCATGATGTTTTATTTCCTTTGGAACACAGGGCAAGACCTTGATGAAGCTGGATGTTGGCCGTCACAATTTACACATTTGTAGTCATTTGTACAACCTGTACTTTCATGGTGATCACCACAGCGAT